CTCAGTGTATTTTGTGTTTTGGAAGATGTTTGTATGTTATATTGTTTCCCTATCCTTCTTATTTTTTTCCAAAACGCCTCATATGTATGGAATTGTAGAGTTGTATATATTGTGTTACTTATTTTTGTGTCTATGATTTGGGACAAAATGTAACAATAAAATCGTTTACTTACCATTTCTTGATGTTTTAGTGTCAAAATAAAATAAACTAATTTTAGATGTTTACAGAAAACCCATAAACACAGATAGATACTTAAATTTCATCTTATCACAATTATAAGTGTAAAAAGATTATAAAAGTTTATATGATAAATGGCAAAAATAATATGTTCGAGTATAAACCACATAAAAATACATTAATAAAAAACTGACTATCCACCATATTTTATTGACAAAACCATTGAAATGAAATACAAAACCCCAATCAGGTTTTTGGATCCGCCACATAGATATAGACATTTTTAAACAAAAAAAAAACGTTTTTTTCAAAAAATTTAAAATACGATAGTGTGTGTTATTTTAGCTGATGGTAAAGAGTGAGTAAAAGCTTAAAAAAGTCAGCGAAACGCATTCTGATATCTTCTTTCAAACCAAGATATTAGCAAAATTATAATAAATACCATAAAATAAGCCGCCATTGCACTTATTTTACAATTTTAATTATCAGTGGCCTCTTGATTAGGCCCATTCTAACAAAAAAATAGAATAGAAACAGTTAGTTTATTTTTAAAATCCAGGAAATACTAGAATACCACTTAATACCAGATGTATTAATATCTAATAATTAAGATATTAATAATAGTGAACAAAGAAACGATGATTCAGTGAAGTCATGGTAGGCTTTTGAAAAAAGTTAGTATAAACGTCAGTTGTTATTAGATCAACATTTTTTGATAGTCTAAGCATTTTTTTATCTTTTAAATGCTTTCAAAATGCCTTTATTATTTGAGGTAGTTGAAGTTGTTGGCATTTTGAAGAAGCAATCAAAGAGATAAAAAACGCTACTAAGACTATCAAAATCTAATAACAGTTGAACAAGAAAACTTTTTCAAAGAGAACTTTTTCAAAGGCCAAAGGTCAAAACTTTTTCCAAGGCCTACCATGACTTCACTGGATCATCGTTTCTTGTTCCACTAATATATCTTAATTATCGAATATTAATACATCTGATATTATGATATTCAGGTATATCGTCGATTTTAAAATAAACTTTTTTTTTTTTTTTTTTTTACAAGTTTTATATCAAAAGTTTTGTGGTTAATAAAAATAAGGTAATTAAGGTTTTTTTTTTTTTTTATTATAATTTTACTAATATCTCTGTTTGAAAAAGATATCAAGACACGGTTTTCGCTGACTTTTATTACTCTTTACTATCAGCTAAAATTATATATACTATTGCATTTTTTTTTTTTTTTTTTTTTTTTGTTAAATTGTAAGAAAGAGCCCTCTAGCGTCTACGTTATTATTATTGTTTATATGGCACAATATAGAGTAAGAAACGCTCTTTTAAACGAGCCATCGCTTGTTGGATTCCGATCATCCAGTCCAGAGTTATTAATATTCAAATAAAAACAGATCTAACCTTCCCCCACCACTTTATTTTGGTAGATAGGGGAAAATGGCTCTAACAAAAATTATTCAAAATTTACTGAAGATTATGAAGCTGATACTTATATATATATACACCTTATCTAGGCAAAATTGTGTAAAAACTACATTTTTTTACTTTTTGTTGCAGTTGCGCCCCCTAGCGGTGGTTCTACAAACTTGAAAATAATTTCCAGCAATTTTCCATATCCTCTTTACTTATAAATATTTTTTTCCGCAGCCTCTACGGCTAATACTTTCCGAGATACAGCCGAGAGCTATTCTTAGTGAGACACCCTGTACATATACTACAGGGTGTCCCATTTTGTTTGAAATCATACGGTATCTCCGTTATTAGTGAAGATCGAAGAATGCTGTTTGCACAAACCTGTCCCACTTTTTAGTCAACTAACAGACGCAGTGCACTCAATTTTCATAGCCTCCTTTGTATCTGAACTACACTTTGCTCTGAGTCTTTTTGAAAATTTTGCAATTTGGGATATCCCCGTATCTCCCTTACTGCGAAAGGTATTGAGAAGGTGAAAACTGTTTATTGTAGATTTTTTACGTAGAATTTAGTAGCGTAGTTTGTTAGTTTACGAAAAGAGTATTTTTGAAGATGATATGAACTAAAGTTATGTTTTCTTAAATAGAACACCCTGTACATTTATAAATCATATGATCTGCCTTGCTTTGGGCTACTCGAAAATATATAACGCTCTATATTTATTTTCACACTTAAAAATGGAATGACTAACTAACTTCTATCCAAAAACTAATTTAAAAATGAATACTTACAACAGACCTATAATAGGTATATAATTAAATTATCAAGGTAAACGAAAAGAGCTTCGAAATATCGCGTATCACCTTGTATATTTCTTCATTCTTTGTACCTCTTTAACTATTACGTAAAATACATCTGGAACCTTAAAATCAAAATAAACACTTCGACCTATTTCGTGAGTAGTGGAGATGTGACCTCTCCACTACTCACAATTTAAGACAATAAATAAATTAGATTTATTTTATTATTGAAAAGAAATGTTGTGTTTTTTAAAAAAAAAGTTTACTTAGCACAGTGATGATTAGCAAACATCAACCCATTTTGATTCCAGAAATTAAACCCAGAGATGCTAAATCTATGTTTGTGTTGTATTGACACAACTTTTAATGTGGCTATTAAGAGCTCCACGAGATACACAGCCGCTCCCACAGTACGGACATATATAAGGTCTTTCCCCGGTATGACTTCTGATATGTATTCTCAACGGAGCACCTTGATTGAAACATTTTCCACATATTTCACAGCTGTAAGGTTTCTCGCCCGAATGAATCCGCTCGTGCATAATCAAATAATCTCGTTTTATAAAACTTTTACTACAATAAACGCAAGAGTATGGTTTTTCCCCGGTATGCTTTCTATAATGGATTTTTAATTTATCGGGCCTGGAGAATCCCTGTCCGCAAACATCGCAAAGATGTTTCTTTTCGTAAGGACCAGTCCGAACATTCAAATGTTTGGAAGAATAATGTTTTTCTAATGTGTCCAGCCGAGCGAAAATTTTCTGGCAAACGTTACATTGTGTTTTTGATTCTGGATCGTACACTCTGACCGTATGCGTTCGGGTTTGATGGGAAAACAAATATCTGGAGTAGTAAAAATGTTTACTGTAAACGACGCACTCGAAAGGTTTAATGTTCAAATGAACAATCTCGTGTTCTTTGAAGCTGAGTAGTGTAGAGGCCATTTAAGACAACAAATAAATTAGATTTATTTTATTATTGAATAGAAATTTTGTATTTTGTAAAAAAATGTTTACTTGGCATAGTGATAATTAGCAGACATCAAAACATTTTGATTCAAGATTCCAGAAATTAAACCCAGAGATGCTAAATCTATGTTTGTGTTGTATTGACACAACTTTTAATGTGACTATTAAGAGCTCCACGAGATACACATCCGCTCCCACAGTACGGACATATATAAGGTCTTTCCCCTGTATGACTTCTGATATGTATTCTCAACGGAGCACCTTGATTGAAACATTTTCCACATATTTCACAACTGTAAGGTTTCTCGCCCGAATGAATCCGCTCGTGCATAATCAAATAATCTCGTTTTATAAAACTTTTACTACAGTAAACGCAAGAGTAAGGCTTCTCCCGGTATGCTTTCTATAATGGATTTTTTAATTTATCGGGCCTGGAGAATCCCTGTCCGCAAACATCGCAAAGATGTTTCTTTTCGTAAGGACCAGTCCGAACATTCAAATGTTTGGAAGAATAATGTTTTCTAATGTATCCAGCCGAGCGAAAATTTTCTGGCAAACGTTACATTGTGTTTTTGATTCTGGATCGTACACTCTGACCGTATGCGTTCGGGTTTGATGGGAAAACAAATATCTGGAGTAGTAAAATGTTTACTGCAAACGACGCACCCGAAAGGTTTAATGTTCAAATGAACGTTCTCGTGCTCTTTGAAGCTGAGGGCGTCATTGAAACACTTGCCGCATTTCGTGCATTGGAAGTCATAAAGCTGTAGATGCAAGTGGTTGATGTGGACGTGCATAGCTTCCTTTTTTCTGTGACACGTACTGGCACCAGGGACAGGGATAAAGCTTGTCGTCCCGATGCTTTTGCACGTGGACTGAGTAGTTTATTGGACCGAATAAGTCTTCCTTGCACACGTAGCAGTTGAATTTTTCCTCGTGCGTTTCTACGTGTTTTTCGATTTCTTCCAGATCCTGACATTCGGCTGAACAGTTGTTACAAATATATATTTCGTGTTCTAAATCATAAGTGTATTTGTTTACTTCCCCGTTGCTTCCCCTTGGCATCTGCAATATGTTCTTTTCTATGTTTGAACATATCTTTTCGAGAACCGAACGTATCCAAACAGAACTTGCATGTCCACATGTTGGCTTTCTGATTCCGGGTTAGTTTCTGAGATACTTCCTTTTTCTCCCTCTTAATTCTGAGTTTAGGTTCCCTGGTAGATTTTCTCACTTTTTTCGTTGTTGTACCTTCCTCTAAATTCCACATTGGGATCCTTTTTAATTTTCTTTACTAGTTTCTTTCGGCCTTTTCGAGGGTGTAATATAACGTTATCATCAAAGAAAGTATACGATAAATCCTCGTTTTTTATTTCTACGTTGATCCTAAAAAAATAATTTATTGAATAAACTGTCCGGAATGAAAATCGATAAAAAAAGATGTCAATTACTTTACTTACCTATTTTGCGTAAAAAACCGTTGGTATAAATTTTAGTTTTGCTAAGTGCTAGACTATAAATTAAAATGTGCACTACAATTAGTAATTAGTCCAAATCAAAAGCAAATACTGATGACGGTTAAGCTGTTCTTATGATATGATGTTAAGCTCTGTAGAGAGCATAGATGTAGGTGACCTCTCGCATAGATTTGTGATTTGTCAACAGATTTGAGAACGTTCAATGATCGCTCTATACAGGTTGCTACAAATTCAGGGTACGAGTACAACCGTAGGTATCTCGAAAACCGTAATAGCTACGAACATGGTTAAATTGGGGCAGATTTGCGCATTGGGATATTCACGAAGATGGCATCAAAAAAGTGGCAAAAAATGAGTTCTAGCAGTTATTGGATCATGGCAAAATTTTTACTCTGGCGTATGTCAATCATTAATAAAAACAATGCCAAACAGGCTTGAAGTGGTTGCAAAAATTCATGCCGATGTAACGCCATATTAGAACAGTTATTTTTTAAAGTGTCCGAACATTTAATTGTCACGATATTGTGCAATCTTTTTGTTTATTTATTGGCCTACAGTTTATTTTAATGTTTATAGAATCTAAACTATTTATACTCATTAGAAATGTTAGATTTTATTATATTTTTAATGTATTTCTTAAATGTAAATAATTCAGTTAATAAAAATAAAGGTTTTTAATACATTTTTGTTTTTCCGAACATTTAGTTGTTAGGGCTCGTAATGGTCAGGTTCTTGGAGGATAAGGGATAGTCGCCAAGGGATATTTTCCTTTGGGGAACATTACTTGACGTCATTTGTAAAAGTGAAATCAATAAAGCTCAACATTTACAACAAAGAGTACAAAATACATTCGGAAGTATAAGTGGATCTGTTGAAAGAGCTATACTTACATAAAATTGAAGGAAAAATAAATTTGCGCATTAGGGAGGGTGGTAATCCTATCGAACATGTAGAACATTAGAAACTGGTTTGTTGAAACATAATAATTACGGATTAATATTATGTATTATATTACTAGATCTCTACATTCAGATTTCAAATTCATAATACAAAAAGGTAAAAATAATATCATTAAAATATTGACCTGGACTTTACTTATTTGAATCTTCCGTTTGGCTAGATTTTTCTAATGAATGTTAATTAGCGCTCATCAGTATTGTTACGATTATTATAATAAGGTTAAATAATTAAAAAAAAAACAGAGTCGGACTTGAAATAGTTTAAATAGTGTTGTTAAAGTACCCAAAAGAAAAGAAAATATTATGTGTGGCATATCGTTGTACTCAGGGGACGGAATTCTTTCAAAACCTGAAATAAAAAACGCAGGTCCGTATTTAAAAAAAAATAGGTTCGTCTATGTATCTCAGAAACTATTAACTAGTTTGAAAATTTGAAAATACGACCAGATAGCCCTGATAAAGTGGTCATGAGAATGTGCAATTATTTTTCCGATTTTCTCAAAAGTTAAGACAGGAAAAAATAAAACTGATTTTCCAAAAAATCAGTTTTTCTCAAAAAACTTGAAAATCTTACATTTTTTATGATAGCATGTTGGCAAACATCGCAAGGCGCAACTTTGCCCCAATTTAATCAAGGAGTGTTCGTATCTATTACGGTTTCCGATATACCATTGCTCGTTCCCCGAATTTGTAGCACCCTGTATAGACAAATAAAATATTTTTTTTATATAAGAAAATAAAGAATCCATTCCAGGGGGAATAGAACCCAATAGCAACAATAGTAAAGTTTACTTTGCCGATAGGGGAAGTTGGATAATACTGCGCATTTCATAACCCCGCGCATCTGTGATATCATTGCAAAGATTATCAAATGCCAACATATCTTGACCCAGTTTGATTAAAGCGGATATGGCAAAAAAGTACTCACTGGTAATATTTCAAAAGCGGTTAAACTTAAAAGGATTAAACTCCCATTTTGGTTGCAATTGAGGTTTATCTCACTCTAATAGACGGAGAGCTGGCTACATAAAAAACCTTATTATCGTTACATGACTAAGTTTTCTTGTGAAGTATCCTTGTATGTAACCATTATGAAATAGTCATGTCTGCCAGCGCGATCCCGGGGCTTAAAGCGGGCCAATCTAAAGGGTGAAATTTTAACACTAAAAATATTATAAGGTACACGAGTTATAATTGCGAAAATAGCTTTTATTTATTATTAAGAAATGTGGAAAATTATTGGCAGACATTTTTCTCGTGGCTAAAATGTCGACAGACGAATAGGCATGAAATTTTGAAAAAAAAATCATCGCATACATGCGTGTCGATTGGTGGAATGTCATGTTTATTTATTTAAAAAGCCGTATGCAAAAGAGCAGACAAAAAAATCGTGGTTCAATCAGCGGTAGACAGTTATGAAAAGCCCGATATTACTCTACAGGGCGAGTCTTTAATAAATGCAAATATTTTCAGAGCTGGTAGATCTCGACAAAAGAAACATATTTTCTCTTTACCGTTTTCCAAACAACTCCGAAATATCCGAGTTTTGAAATTTTAGAAAGAAGTTTGAAAATTTTTAGAAAGAAGTTTGAAAAAAAGAGATTGATTTATTTTTAAATAATTTTGCTGGCCACCTGTTTTTTTTCTGTATTTGCATTCATGCTTTTAATGTCGTAACCATAGACATATAAAGCCGTAAGCATACGTAGGTTAAGAAATAATTATACCGTGGGTAAATTTACGGTGAACAGGCAATTCTAAAAAGTTTTCTTAAATATAGTTATCAATTGAAACATAATACAAGTCTATAAAAATTTTACGGTGCAGATATCGACTCTGAGGAAGACTCGTTTGCGAGAGAGAGGATTTGCAGTACGACGAGTCAGATACAAATAGTGAGACAGAATAGTAAATGTATGATATCAGTTATTGCAATCATAAAACAATATATTTATAATATAATCGTATACTGATATAGCCACGATATTTTTGTCTGCTCTTTTGTAATACAGCTTTTAAAATAAATAAATGACATTCCACTAATCGGCATGCACGTATGCCGTAATTTTTTTTTCAAAATTTTATGCCACTTTCGCGTTGTCTGCCGTCATTTTACCGACGAGAAAAATGTCTAACAACAATTTTCCACGTTTCTTAATATTAAATAAAAGCTTTTTCGCAATTATAACTCGTGTACCTTATAATATTTTTGGTGTCAAAATTTCACCCTTTCGATTCACCCGGGATCGCGCTGGCAGATATGACTATTTCATAATGGCTACACAAAAGGATACTTCACGAGAAAAATTAGCCATGTAACGATGATAAGGTTTTTTAATAATAACCTAGATTGTACCGCTTATTAGTTAGAACCTTAGAACAGAACAGAAAGCATTAGTTTCGACGAATCTTAGCTACTTTTTTTTATGAAACCTAAGATGCGCGTGCAAAAGTTTCAATATTTATAAGTATTCTTTCAGCCACATAGAGAGTTATCAAGAAAAAAACATATATACTATAGAAAATATTATCTATTTATATGCTTCACTTTTTTACAAACCTTTTATACCTACACCAATGTATGCTTACAAATCTAGGTACATAAATTTTTAGAGTTCTTTATTACATACATACATATTTCAAAGCAATATGTCAATAGGTATTAATGCCCTTTTTATAAAATGTTTAATGTAATCCAAGTACAATAATTAATTTCTACTCCATATGTCAAGTAAAAAAAAATATAATAGCACTTGAACTGTTTTTTTTTGGAAAAAATAAATGTATTTGTAAAATATAATCAGTGGAGTGCGAGTTAACCAAAAGCCCTTGTATAAAGAAGTGGTAGATACATTCACTAAGCTTATTTGCTTATCAAGTAAAAAATACTTCAAGGTGTATAACACTAAAACTCATTATTAATAAATCTGCAGACCAGACTAGGCAAATATCTTTATTCGAGAATACCTGTCTTATTAATAGGATATTGTTTTATTGAGTAAAAATTACACTTTCTGTGGCGAGGCACAAAAATTCATTTTACTCCCAATAGAACAAGCCATTTTTTTATGAAAAAAAAAAAAATAAGTTTTTAAACAATTTCAAACGGATAATATAAAAGATTTAAAGTCATACCTTGTATGTAATTATAAAAGGTGGTCCCAAAGGGTGGTCCGAACCAAGGATACTATAGAGATAAAGGATAGTTCGATTCCTATCTTCCTGCACTGTCAAGTTTTTTTACGTCATCTACTGACCGAGTTGAAGTTGGCGCTGAAGATTTTAGACAGTGACCGTTATTTTTGCATTTGACGGGCGAGCGCACAGTGCGTTGGAAGATAAATTTAGCGGGACAAAGGCGTTTGGTTAGAAATAAGCCAAAAATGTGTACTGATAAGAATAAATAGTAGGCATTCCAATTGATACAAAAATGCATGAATATTCTTTGTATTTCGATACATTTTTATCTACCAGAATTTGGTCTTCTGCTCAGCAAGGCAGAGATCATACGAAAACAAAATATTTACAAGTGCTTATACATTTTATTGGAAAGCCAAATTATGTTGAAGATTGTCAAAGGTATGTACTTTTCTACTGTACATTATATTATTTGTTAAAATCCTTCGTGGCTTTGTTCTGCAGATATCAAACTTCACTTTTTTTTCGATATTGAATGATGTAGATCTTTTGAGTTACCAATAGTTACCAACACAGGTAGTGACAGTCACAGGGAGTTCAAGCTTAACAGGTGAATGCCCAAAAAGATTCATTTCAATCGGATAGTATAAAACAAAACAACTCCATCAAAAGGCACTGAGTT